GAGAAACAGGCTATATTCTAGCTTCACAAACTTGGGATTGCCCTTTGTTGTATGAAAGTTGTGAGTGACTTAAAGAAGAATTCTTCAAGTATAAAAAAGATGATAAATGCCATTTGATGCCGAAGAACCTCCCTCTCTCAGTCTGAGATTTGTGTGTGTATGTGTGTGTGTGTGTGTATTTGTTCTTGTGTATACTTGTATAACACAAGGACATCATCATCTGTATACTTGTATTACACATTAACATTGTCATGATAAAAGGAGAATAGAACTTCCCTTTGGTATGTTGGCAGAGACATATGCAATATCATTTCTTTTGAGAGCACAGCCTTCAAGCTAAGCTTGAAGTTTCATAACACAAGAAACCTGTGATTTAGCTTAGTCCAGAATGAGTGCTTGGAACATACCCAAGTTCATGGACTACATATTGATGATTGTATTACTGCAAACATGTTAATATGGGATAATTCTCTATCTGCCTGTTTGGTTTTGGAATCTTTGGGGGACTGATTTTGGCAACACCATGACATCAGGTTAAAAGGAATGATAAAAGATTGTTAAATGAGTTATATAAAATGGTCTAAATCTGGAGATGAAAGGAGAAAAGACAGAAACCTGAACAGACTAGAGTTTGAGGGAGAACTTTGGGAAGCAGATGTATGTGTGTGTGTGTGTGTGTATACATGTGTGCACGCACGCGTGCACGCATGTGCACACCAGGATTGGAGCTTGAATTCAGGGCCCGTTTTACTCTCCTTTTTCACTCAAGGACATACCTCCACATCTGGTTTTTTTGTGGTCAATTGGAGATAAAGAGTCTCATGGACTTTTTTGCCCAGGCTGGCTTTGAACCAGGATTCTCAGATCTCAACCTCCTTAGTAGCTAGAATTACATGTGTAAGCCAACAGGCATCCAGCTGGGAAGCAAGTCCTTTACCTGTTACAATCACATACAAAGGGAGAAATGTACTCTTAAGATACTTTGTTATGAGCCAAATCAGTACACATTTATGGTTTGGTTTTTTTCCTGGTCTTAGACTTCTGTTACCCAAAATATAATGCTGCCCAGAGGTTGAATTTTGGATTTCTTAGGAGGTTAAGAAGGATGAAGAAGCAAAGGAGGAGGAACTAAAGAGGAGAAGGAGGAAGAGGATGAAGAAGAGGAAGAGAATTATATTCCCTCACCAATTCTAAGAAACACTTGCTTTTAACCTTCCTGAAATAAGGATTGCCTTTATGTTTGACAAGGAATCTAATTTAATTAGCAAAATAATCTTTCTTTCACTGAAACATTAGATTTCATGACAGTATAAATGTACCCCACTTTAACTTTTAAAGCCCATGTGGCAAATGTTTCCATCACCACATTAAAACCTTCACTGGTCCCTAATAAATTACCTTCCATAGGCAACTCAAGAGATCCCAGTGAATATGATTCATACTAATCATACATTTTTCATCTTGCATTTGGGAGGAAGGGAGACATCATGGTAAGGAAACCTTTGACATTTAGTTAAAAAATTAAGAGTAAATAAGAAGACAAATGACATGCTAGATTTATATGGAAAACATCTTGAACTATTTCCTTAAAAACCTACCGCTGTTTAGTAGCCACTGGAAGAGTTTTCCTTAGTTAAGATTTTGGATGGACAGGCAATGATGAGATTGGGACAAATAATCAAGAAAGGGGACCTTGATTGTAAAATAACTATCTATTCTATTAAAAATAGGTAAACAATTTGAATAGACATTCCCCAAAGAAGATCTAAATACATAGATATATAAACACATAAGGTATATAAAATCTTTAATTGCTAGGGTTCAAATTAAAACTGCAGTGAGATACTACTTTATACCAACTAGGATATCAATAATTAAAGAGACAGAGAACAATAAAAGTGAACAAAGGTGTGAAGAAATGTGAAGGTCATAAATTTTAGGCCAAGTTGTACCTCCACTTTGAAAGACAGTTTGATAGCTTCTTAAAAAGTGAAACATAAGCCGGGCGCTGGTGGCTCACGCCTGTAATCCTAGCTACTCAGCAGGCTGAGATCTGAGGATCGCGGTTCAAAGCCAGCCCGGGCAAGAGAGACCGTGAAACTTCTATCTCCAATAAACCACCAGAAAACCGGAAGTGGCGCTGTACCTCAAGTGGTAGAGCGCTCACCTTGAGTTGAAGAGCTGAGGGACAGCACCCAGGCCCAGAGTTCAAGCCCCACGACAGACCAAAAAAAAAAAAAAGTGAAACATAGAATTAATTACCAATATGTCCCAGGAATTACGTTGCCAGGCATACACTCAAGGGAACTGAAAACAGACAAAAATGTATACAACAAATATTCACAGAAGTACTCTTCTTAACAACTAAGAGGTGGGAGCAATTCAACTGTCCAAGGATGAATGATGGAATATTATTCTACTATTAGAAAAGAATGATATATTGAAACATGCTACAACACACAGATTTTAAACTCTATGTCAAGTGGAAGAAACTGGACACTAAAAGCCATATACTCCCTAAATAGGATTACGGGAAATCTTCAGAACAGTTCAATTCACAGAGGGGAAAAAAGTAGATTGGTGGTTTTATGGTCTAGGAAAGGAAGAGAGTATATAATAGAGTAGGTGATAGGAAGTGACTGCTCATCGGTTTCTTTTTTAGGTTATCAAATATTCTGGAATTAGAAAGTGATGTCTGATAAGTCTATACTAGAATGTCTGAAGTACGTGCTTCATAATGATGAACTTCATATGTAAATTATAGTTCAATAAAGTTACTACTAGAAAAATAAGTATCCAGAGGTTTCAAAGACATGATCATACATAAATGTATATAAATGCCAGGTGTAAGAATGGCTCCTAAGTTTTCTCCTGAGGGTCAAAGGGACCCCTTGGGTTCCAAGGCGAGTCTCACTTTCACTACTATGTCTCAGAACTTGGAAATTGATATCGTATCTCTTTTTGTCGGTCATAAGCTATTCTGTGTTTTGAAGTTGGTACCTTAGGTCAGAGATGCAACTGAATGGAAGAAAAAAGAAGGGCCGGAGTGGGCTACAGGAGCTGTAGAGACTCAGTTCTGTGTGACTGCCCTTCTTATTACGGAGGAACCTAAACAATGCTGGAGCCTTGAGTTAATGCCACTGTTTGCATGTGGGTTGCTCCTTTCTCCTCTACCTTCACACCCATAGCTTGATGGGCAATGCATTATACTATGATTATACTAACTGATTATACTATGTGTAAATGAGACATGGTTCTGAGGTCAAGAAATAACAGTTGGGTTGTGTTAAGAAATTTTTATTGTTTCCTTTGGATTTGTGATGAAAGCACATAAAATTACAAGTGGAAGAAACATCATGCCACAAAATTGCATAGAATTATTACAAAAATGTGAATAATGCATTTTAAATAATTTGAGATAGAAGAACCAAAATATGTACAGTTGAAGAGCTTCAAATACTTTGTCCTATCTCTTTTTTTCTTCTTAAAAGGCAAAAGTCACAATGTTCAATCCATCACGAATAATATTAATACAGTGCACAAGCGCAACATTAAATTCAAAGGAATGCAAGCAATGGCCCTTTCTTTCAGAATTACTTAATGACTGCTTATCTATTATAGGAGTAGCAAAGAAATGTATGGTGATCCTGAAATGTTGCAATGAAATGCTGGAACCCAAAACACATGGCATGTCAATAGATCTTGGGAAACTGGTTTACATGGTTGAAACCACGCTGTTCTCAGTAGTGTACAGGTGTCAGAGACACAGTCTAATTTAATATACAACTCTACCCTCTATTAGAAGAAAAACCACAGTACAGAATTTTACACATTCAACAAAGAACAAGGCAAACACATAAAGGCACAAAACTGCACATTGTATAGACCCTTTTCTTTATCTTTGTCTATTTTCAAGTAATATTAATATTATTAAATGATAGTATCACTCTAGTAGTTTCAATGATGCAAGGTACACAGTGTTACATACTACCCCACAACTGCAAAAAGTGTCATTTTACAGATATAAAAATGTGATTACAGTAAATGGGCCAGATACAAACATATTGGAAAATGACTAGAATTCCTAAGATAATGAAACCCAAATACCAAGACAGTTTTAGGGAAGTCAAGGTTATAGAACCTCAAGTCTATTTCTGGATTAAGATGTGATAAAATGTTCTATAATAATTACCACTGTGTTTGGGTCTGAATGCCATTTTCCCTTCATTCTTCCTCAGTTTTAGAGTCTGTAATTTTGTTTATAAAAATGTAGCCTTTGATTTGACCACTCTTACTTCTTTATGATACATGCTGTCCTTTCAAAGTGCAAAAAGTACAAGGATGTATAAAAGATTTCTCTTTCAGTGGAAGTTTAGTTTTATTAAGTGTCTAATTAACACTCTAAATCCTTCAGATCAAAATATAATCATCTCCAAAGAGGAAGTGATTTCCCCTTGTGTTTCACTATATGTGTATTTTTATTTTAGTCAAACATGTTTCCCTAATGTTTGAAGTAAGCCTTCATTTTGATGAAAACTTAATTGTGATTCCTAGTTATTGCTTTACATTAAATAAAACGATTTCCATAAAAACATTAAATTCTCAAAACACAACTTTCAGGACATAACTTTTCATTTGCAGTGTTTAATTTCTTGCTAGGCTAGAATCAGATAGATTTGTTTTAAAGTAAAATAAAACTGTGAGCATCTAACATCTGGGCATTAGTTTACCATCAATTTTTGTATGATTCTATAAATTACTTTTATATATTCTTTCTTAAGACATTTTAATAATGATTTTGATCAGTTTTATTATGATATAATTTACTTCTCTTATACCACTTAAAGTAGGAACTTAAAAGACATGGTTAAGCATATTATATATACATACTAAATGCATAATCAAAGTTTTTAAATCTTAGAATAAAATTGAAATTGGTTAGACTTAAAAACTATGGAAGATAGTGATAAATTTCCAAATAACTGTCCTATACACTTTGTCTACTCCAAACATTGCAACAAGCTTAGAATCTGATATTTAAAAATCATTTTTATTCCTTAAAATATCTACCAGATTCATATTATAAATCTTAAATCTACTTAAAATTGCATACATAGCTTCATCAATGTTTTATTACAATTTTCATATAACTTAACATTGATGTAATGTAGTTACTTGATCCTTTTCTTCTCTATCGGTTTGGTTTTGAGTGGAAGAGATTTGAGTCATCGCCAATTAATGAACACACATCCACATTTGTGCATACACACGTGTGTGTACTTACATAGCTAAGTGCATATCTATATACATGGAGAAAACATAGCATTTGTACATGGGTCTGTGTGTTTAGATAAATATGTAATCTTTCTATATTAAAAATAAATGAACCATAAAAATGTCTGATAGCAAAAGAACCATCAGGACCTGTTTATCCTGATTGAATTTCTGCTTAATATATATCAGCATGTTCTTTTCTTAAAAAATCCAACAGAATGGATCATTTCTAACAATTTGATCATTTCAGGCCAACAATCAATGTGTACCCAGACTTTGAGTGCAAATAGTCAATTCAGATTGCACCTGAAAGCATGCAGCCAACTTGCTCATGCAACCAAACGTGCAATCCATATTGCTGTGTCTTGGGATGGCTTCACTAGGGGTGGGGGGCAAGGACATAATCAAGTTACTATTTTTTTAACTTAAAAAAAAAAGAAAACCAGCTAATTGAGTCACTACGGTAGCTAGTAAAGCCATATCAACGACAAATACACTGATGCGTCTATGATAGGTAAATAAATTAGCAAACTGCAAGCCACCAGTGCTTGCAAAGCAAAGGATGAAATATTCATATTAACCTGAAAATATAGAGTTGAGGGGCAGATAGGGAAAAAAAAGCTCAAAGTTGGATGATCCATAGTGTTAAATAGCGCTATGCATTTCTATGTCTGTTACTTTGAAATACTTTACAACAGAGCTTCAAACAAAAACAAGAGTTCAGAATTTCTTCAGAGAAGAGACACTGTCCTTCATTAAGTGTTCCATGGAGCCTGGGAGTTGCCTGCTTTGAATTTACTATTGGAAAGAAAGGAAACAACAACAACCAAACAAAACAAAAATTCCTACATACGTGCGTTCTTCACTGCAGTAGTTACTACATGACACATGGAGCCTGGGTGTAGGACCTCTGCATGGATCCTTCCAGAACTCTCCCTTTGATGAGGATTTCAGGCTAAAGGATGCGTCTCAGGAAGATGGTCCTAGGCAGTGATCATTCTAGTAAGAGAGTCTAATGAAGCTTGAGTGGTCATGCATATCCTGAAGGCCTTGGCAGGAACAATCACAGAGGAGTATCAAACTCTCTTCCTGGGGCCTCTCCTTCCGCCTCCTCACTGGAGGGAGGCTTGTGGTTCATTTTTCCAGGGTCGGAAGCCAAGGAGGGAGGGGCGGAGCCATGATTGCTGTCCTCACTGATTTTTCCTTTCATAGCTTCCTGTACAAACTCCAGAATCTCAAGGGGCAGTCTTTTGAACTTGTCTTGGTATTCTTGTTCCAAGTCTGTCTGCAGCTAGGAGACATCAAGAGAGAAGAACAATTTGAGATTGTTTAGATTTCCATGCCCTGTCATGTGGAATTTTGAAAGAGATACATGAAGGGTAGGGAGAGGAATACATTATCTAAAATAGTATTCATTGGCTCTGCCTCTGTGGAGAAAAACAGTTTAGTAGGACATTCCATTTTTTTCATAGCTGCAAGTGAAGTTTAGGTTATATGTGACATAAGTGGGTCAATGATTTGAACTCAGATAAATGAATCCAACTGCGGATCCTCTCACATATATACATTCGGAAAGAGATGTTTATAGAGGTGGTACACAATTATCTAACGTTCTTGTACTTGGGGTTGGAAACTATTGCTTGTTGAAGAAGGTCAAAGTTCAACCATGAATCCAGCTGGGGGAGAGCTGAGGTTGAATTATGGTTCAAGCCAGAGACTGAGATGTTAGCACTGAACCTCTTGTTGTCTCTTCCCTTTCCTCATCTTCTCCTTTCCTTCTCTGTCTGCTTCTCTTCCCTTTCTCTTTTCCCATTCATCTCATTTGCTTTATTTTCTTCAGTGCTAAGAACCAGTCCCAAGACCTTATATATGCTAATCACATACTCTACCAGTAAACGACATCTTAAGCACCATGGATGCTTTCAAAGAGAAGCTTGAAGCATTTTATGCACATATAACCATCTTAAGTTTCATTCTGGCTTTTCTTTCTTTTTTGAAAAATCACTTCCTTGGTTTCATTGCAACTTTTATTGGCCTTTTAGCAACCTTTTTACATGTCTTTTATTTTCTCTATTATGCATACTGTGGAGAATTTCAGGCTATTTATTGTCTGGGGAATTTTTCTCCACATGCAGACTTACATGGCAACAACCCTAGTCATGAAATCATTGTAAAAGAGGGGATTCTGGGGCAGCAGAGGGGGCAGCAGAGAGACCTGTCTGCTGTGAAATTCTGCTACTGGAGCTCCAAGGAAAATTGAGAATTTGAAATAAATCCTCTCTGTTTACGTGAATGCAAGAAACATAAATGACCTGCTTTTGTCTTGCTTTCCATTGGCTTTGAGGCAACTTTTATTAAGATATGTCCTTAAAAATCTGGGTCTTTTTTGGTGGGTCAGTTGTGAGGCTCAAGGTGAGCTCTCTTCCATCTTGATCCACAGCTCTCCTTCTAGTTTCCTGGTAGTTAATTGGAGATACAAGTCTCATGGACTTTCCCACCCAGCCTGGCTTTGAATAGAAATCTTCAGATCTCAGCCTCTTGAGTAGCTAAGATTACAGGCATGAGCCACCAGCACTGGACTTGGCAGATGTATTTTATACGTTTGCTAGATTTTGTGTAAGTTTATATTTTATATTTTATGTTCTGTAGTGTTTCAGCAATTCTCAACCTTTGAAGTGCACATAGTTCACTAAGATCTGTATTTCGATTCTGGTTCATGAGGTCTGGGTTGGGTCCAAGACCCTGCATTTCTCAGAAGCTCTGGGCAGTCCCAAGGTGACTGATTCACTTGGGAAACTTTATCTCCCTGTCTTGACTATTCTCTAAGCCTCCGGGTCTACTCTTTGCCCCGTCCTGGCCTGATGTCCTCTAGCTATAGCTTTCAGTGCAGCCTCTGAGGCTTAGTCCTGAGCCCCAGACCATCCAGGGTAAAGTCAGTCCTAGAGCCTTCTCTCTCTGGACAGGGTTAATTCCTTTCCCTCATGCTTCCATGCAAGAAAAACTATTTTCTAAGTCTTCGTTATTTGGTCTAATTCTAAAAGTCCTTGAAGTTGTGAAATTAAGAGGTATTTTGATAAATCGGTGGTAAACTAATTGACATGAACTGATCTAGGGAAATGTGTCATCCTTGTTTATGCTATTGCAGACAGATGAATTCATTTGACTATGAAGATTAACTAAGTCTCCTTAGAGTGTTATACTCAAGGTTTATGCAGCATACTACCTTCCCAAAACTGGAAAAAAATTATGAACTCTGCAAAACAATAAGCCCCAAGAATCTCAGATAATAGAATATGGATTTTGTTTGAATAGCTTTGGTTTTCATCAAAGGATAGTTGACAAAAATAACAGCCCGAGTATTGGCAGTTATTGAAGATATTTTACAATAAGAATGTTAATAGGGCAAGAAGGAAATGTAACAAAGCAAGGGGTGTGGGGTGGTGGGGGAGAGTCCTCAGTGTCCTGAGATGGTGAGGGCCATGACCTGAGAGTACAGTGGCACTGGCCATGCAACTCCACCCTCCTTGTCCAGCTCACACAGCAAGTCACTGATGCATCCAAGACAATTCTCCTGTTATCCCAGCCACTGAGGAGGAAGTGGTGTTTTTTATGAATGTCATGTGTGGATTCTCAGCCTGAGTTGTGACAGCACTAAGCCTCATCATTTATTCACCTCCATCCAATAACACACATGCTTAGTTTCCTTTGCAAGCAAGGAAGGTGGAGAAAGGGAGAAAAGCAAGGGACTTTGTTTTGAGGACACAATACATTCCTGTTTTCACTTAGGTTGAGTTGAGGGGCCTTATCTTTGAATACATTATCAACATCCTTGCAGCTGGTTTCTGTTTGATTAGAGATCACTGGTGGACAAGGCTCCATTGTGTTTCCTAAGTGCTGTTTTTTAATTACTAAAAAAAGAAATGGAAAAGGAAGAAAGCATAAGAAAACACTAATACTAAAACAACACTTTAAAAATATTTTGGTAATTTAACTCCAATAAAAACTTAATTTGGTAATTTAATGTTAGTAATTTTTAACAATTGTGGCTAAATTATAACTTTATGAGATCTTTTTCTTGTTTTTTTTATCATCAGGCAGTTGTAGATTATAGTGTATTCTAAACTAGGTCACAGCTTCCTAGTTTCTATGAAGTGCCATAGACTTCACTCTTTGAAAGTCAAGTCATTCACTTACTAATGAGTTATTTTTAAGTTGGTTGCAAGAAGCTGTAATGGTTCACACTGTAATCCAAGCTACCTATAAGGTACAGTCAGGAAGAGGGTAAACATGATGCCAGCCTTCACAAATTCAGAAAGACGCTCTCTCAATAACAAAATGCAAGCAAAAGATATTGGAGGTGAAGATCAAGTGGTAAAGTGCTTTGCATTCACATTCATGAGGTCCTGGATTCAATCCCCAGTAACACACATAAGCACAAACCCATACAACATACACACACACACACACACACACACACACAAATGAACTGGCTATTCAATTTCTTTTTACAGTTGTGAGATTTTTTTCCTTCTATATAGTACTTGTTCTTATAAAGTAAATGCTGTTCACTGTATGTAAATATGGAAAATATTCAGGGCAATAGATGATTCATTCCAAGAAAGCCACCCATATCTCTACTCCAGAGGGTTGCAAACTCATTTTTATAGATACCAAGAAAATTATGGAAATACAAAACAGGAGCTGGATGGAGGAAGGTTCTGTCTAATGAAAATGCTAACAACTTAGTTTACCTGATGATTGTTAGTCTTATTTATCAAGAAAAATCAGAAATTCAAATATTAAAAGGTCTCCTGATTTATTTTTTGTTGGCTCCAATTCAAATCACATTTGTCAGCCCAAAGATATTTTCAAATATTGAGTAATAGCTTGATATAATCTACAAACAGAAAAACATAGAAAGCTTTTGATCTTAGAACTTCTTTGAAAATCTGGCTGATAGAAACAAAAACACCAAGATAGAAGGATACTTTCTCCAATGTTATTAGGGGCAAAACAAACAGCAACTAACAAAATGCAAACATTTGAAAACAATCTTTTGCTACATATGTTGTTATCTCTTGTCCATTTTTATAATGTTGGTTGAACATTTGCAAATATTTTGGCTATTATGACATTTCACCGTTACATATGGCAGCACAGATCTGCTGAAAATAAGGATATTTTCGTGAATAATGACAGTATCTTGATCATTTCAAGGAAAGTAATGTTATTTAACATCCATTGTTACTCAAAGTTCTCAACTATTATCCTTTCTAGCTTATATTTTCAGATCAGGATTTAAAATTCTTGTATTGAATTCACTTGTTACTTTTTCCTCATTGTTTTTCTCTCATTTTAAGTGTTTTTATGACTTAGATTATTTTAATTGTCGGTCATGGGGCTTGAACTAAGGGCCTACCCACTGTCCCTGAGCTCTATGGCTCAAGTCTAGCACTCTATACTTTGACTAATACCTCTACGTCTTTTTTTCTAATGGTTAACTGGAGATAAGCGTCTCATGGATTTTCCTGCCTGGGCTGGTTTTGAACTGTGATCCTTAAATCTTAGCCTCCTGAATAGCTAGGATTACATATGTAAGCCAACAGGGCCTGGCTTATGACTTGGAATTTTTTTGAGTCTTGTCCAGTTTTTTTTTTTACAGAAATATTTTCTATGGTATCATTTAAATTCATACTAGAAAAATCGTGTTTCTTAAAAGCTAGAAGTTATTATATTTATAGATTTAACTAGATGAAGGATGAACATGTTTTTGTAAAAAAAAATATTCCATAGGAGTTCTGTTATATCTCAGGTTAGAGCACATGCATGGCTATGTATTGCCACGTGGTCCCATTATTGAGGATGTTAGCTACATGTATTTGATCACCTAGACTGATATGGTGGATACTGGATCTGAAGTTTATGATGAAAGTTTGGTTCCATATAATATTTCCTCATTCTCTCATGTAGTTGATAATTCTTGGCTATCTCATTACTGTTTCAGTAATTATATATATATATATATATATATACATAAATTTTATGTTTTTCATAGATAGTTGGTATTGTCTGAGGAGGGTTTCCTCTCCCTGTGGAGATGAGCTAAAAGAGAAAGTGTTTCATACTTTTCCTTGTCTGCAAAATTTCTGAGCAAGCAACTGGGGAAATAATCATTTAGAAAAATAATATTTTTTCTCTCTGAAAATAACTATATGTAATTCTTTTTTATCAAACAAACATTCCTTGAATTTAAACCAGCTGTAATCATTATTCTTCTTTTTAAATTTGCTG